TTCAGTTATTGAATATTCCAAAATCTCCTCTCAATCCCTGAGTCATCCTTTTACTGAAGAATTTTTTTTACATCTATTCATTTTAGTGTGTGTGTGCGTGTGTGTGTGTGTATGTATGAGTGTGTGTGTATGTATGTGTGTGAGTGTGTGTGTATGTATGAGTGTGTGTGTGTATGTATGTGTATGAGTGTGTATGTGTATGAGTGTGTGTGTGTGTGTGTGTGTGTGTGTGTGGGTCTGATGACAACTTGAAGGAAGGTGGTCCCTCCTACCACGCGGGGGATGGGATCAAACTCGTGTAGTCAGGTTTGACGGTAGGCACTACCATCTCCTAGGCTGTCTTGCTGGCCCCGTCTTTACTTTTAAAAACTGCCCTACAATGCACAGAATTTCTCAATTGGAATATGGCTGCATGTGATGATTTATGTGTCTTATTGAAGACATTTCTTCACACATTCAGGTCTGTACGAATTTCCTTCTGAAATTTTTAAAACTGATTCTTTCACATTCAAGTTTTTTTTTTTTTTTTTTTTTTTTTTTTTTTTTTTTTTTTTTTTTTTTTTTTTCTCAGAGTGGTCTTAAATCTCTGGACTTGTGACCCTCAGCATCTGGAGGAGTGGCTGGAACCACAGGCATGCACCACCGTGCCCAGCTACACTTACACCTGTATTCCACTGGAACTGAGGTGTGAGCTGTGTCTAAGTCTTACTTGTCTCCTATTCTGATAACCAGATGTCCCAGAACCATTTGTAACCGCCAGCCCCTTTCCTTATGGTGTGCCATAACAGTACCACCACAAGTCTGGTTTCTGCTTGACTGTGCAGTATTTCCTGGCCTCTTCTTGGGATGTATTGGTCTATAGTACCCTTCTTACTTCCCATGGGTTCTATTGCCTCAACTGTGGTCTAAAATTATTAAATGGGAAATTCCAGAAATAAATGATTCATACAATTTATGGCACACCATTCTACGAATCATGGTGAAATATCTCATGGCCCCACTCTATCCTGTCCCCAGAATGTGAATCATCCTTCTGGTCCAACATCTCCACATTTACATATTACCCGCCCATTAATCACTTAGGACCATCTCTTTTATCAGACCAACTGTTCTGTGTTACTGTGCTTGGGGTTAAGTAACCCTTTCTAACATAACAGGTGCAAACACAAATACACCAGAAAACTATAAGGTGTTTAGTCAAGAAAACACAATAAGATACGTTGAAGGAGAATCCATATTTAAGAATTGTTATTGTAGTATGTTGTTATATAATTGCTCTATGTGGTGTTGTTAATCTTTTCTTAAATTTATATATATATATATATACATATATATTTATTTATGTGCATTGGTGTTTTGCCTGCATGTATGTCTGTGTGAGGGTGTTGGATCACATGGAACTGGAGTTCAGACAGTCTTGAGCTGCCATGCGGGTGCTGGGAATTGAACCCGGGGCCCTCTGGAAGAGCAGCCAGTGCTGAGCCATCTCTCCAGCCCTGGTGTTGTTCATCTTACTGTGCCTAACTTATACAGTGAAACATCACCAGAAGTGACTATGTCTAGGAAACAGCATACTTAGGATTCGATGCTAGTTGCTTCAGATGTCAATCATCTCCAGGGGTCTCGGGATGTATTCCCTGTGGACTATGGTAACTGCACTAAAAATTGGTATCTCTGTCTGTTTCTACAACTTTTTCATAAACTTGCCATGTCGTAAGAGAGCCTTCCATCCTTTTCTCTTCATTCTTTGAGACTGCATCACTCTTCTGGACCTTTGCTCATATATATATAAATGCAAGAATATATCAACCTCACTTAGGACGTTGGGATTTTCATGAGAACTGTTGTGAATCTACTTGGAGGGACTGGGTGGAACTGACATGTTCTTGATTCCAATTGCCTCAAGACTTATAAATTTTTTCATTTTCCAGGTCCTTGTCAATATTCTCTAGTGAAATACCATGATGCCTTCACATAGGTGTTAGATCCATTCAGGGTACATTATAAGTTATATTGCTATTTTAAATGTTAACATGTTGGGTAGTATGGAGCAAAACAATTGATTTTTATCTATTGATCTTAAATAGTAAGATCTACAGTAATCTTAAGCTCTTTTGTTTCTGGTAATTTACCCAAATACCTTTGGGTTTTCATTATAGACAGACAAATGATTGAGTGGAGGTTCCTCTTTCTAATTGGCACACAGGTTATTTCTATTTCTTGTCTTAGTGCACTAAGACTTAAAGTGAAAACAGTAGAGAAACAGAGATCATATACACCTATTCACACACACATTTACACACATGTACACAAATTTGGTCTCGTTACTGATTTTAAATGGAGTTCTAAAGTCTTGAAAATTCTCTTCTAACACTGGGTTTCCAAGATTTGTTTTATATTAATTATTAATAAGTAAGTGTTTTATATATATATGGTGGGTTTTCCATTTTTTAATCTAATAAATAATTTTTGTTTTGTTTTGTTTTGTTTTGTTTTTTATTTATTTGAAATAGGGTTTCTCTGTGTAGTCCTGGCTGTCCTGGAACTGGCTCTAGAGACCAGACTGGCCTCAACCTCAGAGATCTGCCTGCCTCTGCCTCCCAAGTGCTGGGAGTGAAGGTGTGAGCCACCACCCCCGGGATCAAACAAATGACTTTTGTATATGGAGTACTAAAGTTAAAACTGGAATAAAACCAATGTAATATCCTTTAAATACATGGGCGGATTTGGCTTGATGTTAATCTTAGGATTCTTGCTCTTAGGTGCATGAGTGGGATTGGACAGTAATTTTATTTTACTGTATTGACCTTGCATGGTTTTGGTAATGTGCTGTGATTTCTAGAAGTTTATTGTTTGAAAATTTAATCCTTGTTATCAGTGCTATTTGGAAGTTAGGCCTTGGAGATCTACTGCAGTTTGAATTTGAAATGCTCAACCCCCATAGGCTCATGTTTGAACATTTGGTCCCTAGCCTGTGACATTCTTTTGTAAAGTTGTGAAGCTTTTGGGAGGTGAGTCTCTCTAGTGCAGTGATTCTAAGCATGCTGGGACCCTTTAACAGTTCCTCATGTTGTGGTAACCCCCAACCATAACATTATTCCATTCTTACTTCATAACTGTAATTTTGCTACTGTTATGACTCATAATGTAAATATCTGATATGCAGGATATCCAACATGTAATCCCAGGGGGTCACGACCCACAGGTTGAGAACCAGTACTCTAGAGGACTTGATGGTTACAGCCTCACTTCACTTCCTGTCTTCTCTCTGCTGCCTGAGTGCCAATGCAATGTGGCCAGCTGCAGGCTCCTGCCACCATCCCTTCCCTGCTGTGACTGACTACCCCGTCAAACTGTGAACCAAAAAGCAGCTCTTCCTTCCTTAAATTGCTTCTTGTCAGTTATTAAGTTATGTTCCACACGTGCTTAGACTATTGTGAATTTTTTTGGCAGGAACTTACATATGCTCAGTAAGTATAATCATTTCAATTTTTATGTTAATGAGTTGGACAGTTTGAATAACCCAAAACTGAACCAGAAATCTTAAGATATGCCATAATCAGGAAAGACTTAAATTTACCCCTATAATCTACTAGGAAGTTTTAAGTTGTTTTATCACCAATTAGCTGGGCCTTTGAGGACTATATAGTGGTTTTCTTTCTTTTATTATCTTTTTTTAAAGATTTGTTTATTATGGATACAGTGGTCCTCCTGCATGTATTCCTGCAGGCCAGAAGAGGGCACCAGATCTCATTAACAGATGGTTGTGAGCCAACATGTGGTTGCTGGGAATTGAACTCAAAACCTCTGGAAGAACAGTCTTAACCTCTGAGCCATCTCTCCAGCCCCCATATAGTGGTTTTCTTGATGTATATTCCATCTTTGTGTAATAGTTACTGGTTTTTAAAACTCCTATGAAATAGGTATCAGTATCTGCACTATTTGATCAGATTCACTGACAAGGATGGTGGCCCTCCAGAACCTTGTGTTGGGCCTATTAAGGATACTTTGGCACCCCTGCAAAGAAGCCCAGGTGACAAGGAATTAAGGGTCTTGGTCCCAAAGCCTCCTAGGATTTGGCCTGCCCTGAACCACCGAGTAAGTAAGCTTGGGAGCAGGTGGCCCAGCCTCCCATGACCTCTACCTGGGTGGGTAGCTTGGCTGTAACCTCTTTGAGCCAGACCCACCCAGCTAAGCCTCTCCCTGATTACTGACTCGCAGAAACTATGCAAAATAACCAAGGTCAGTTATTTAAAGCTGCAGTTTGGTGGGTAATTTGATATGAAATCGATACTACAATGTATTCACCGGGTAAACTGTCGACTATTCTTCTAACCCTGAGTCTCCCTTCATATTGTTTTCCTTCTTGTGAAGGCCAACTTCTTTTAAAGAATATCCTTTAATAAAGACATATTCACTGTAAACTCTTTTTATGCATCTGAAAATGTCTTCATTTTCCCTCTTGGTGGACAGACAAATCCCATGGAGAGCCACAGCAGCTCCAACCTTCTATGTTCTGATGTGACCTCATCCCATTGAACAGAGGCAGGTTATGGTTAAGCTTGATTGTCAACTTGAAGGGATCTAAAATCACCATGGAAACAAGTCTCAGGGTACAACTGTGAGGGATTGAGGTGGTAAGACTCCATCCAATGAGCTAAGGTCCTGAGCGGAATAAAACGGAGAGAGTGAGAGCTGAACACCAGTTGCATCTCTTTCCTTCCTGACTACAACTGAAATACGTTTGGGGGACCATGACCAGCTGGCCTCCTATTCCTGCGTCTAAACCCTTCCCTGCCGGGATAGACCGTATCCCCTTGAACCGTAAGCCACAATAACCATTTACTCCTTTGGCTGCTTCCTGCTGGGTACTTCATCACACCAACCAGAAAGGTAACAAATCAGGCTGGAGTGGCAGTGTGGAGCCGACGATGGGCTGATACTCCCAGGGTGCTTATTTCTAGGACTCAGTCTTAGCGAGCTGGATATTAAAGGGTAGGCAGCCTTGTTGTGAACAGGCTTACAGAGAGGAACACATGGCAAGAGATTGTGGGGAGCCCCTAGCAGCTCAAAGTAGCCCTTGGCCAATAGCCAGCACGAGAATAAAGACCTCCATTCATCTGCCACGTAGAGATGAATTCTTCCAGTGAGCAGAGCCCTCCCTAGTCAGTCTTCATGTCAGACTAGAACTCCAGCGTACACCTACGCTGGTTTGGTGAGATTCTGAAGCAGGATGCAGCTAGGCTAAACAAGGCCCTCTTTCAGGTGTTGCAGGGGCATGCACACCTACGTGGCACGCCCACGTGCACACATGGAGGCCAAAGGAGGCTGTCAGGCATCCTGCTATATCACCCTCTGTCTTATTCCTTTGAGACAGGGTCTCTCACTGAAGCTGGAGTTGGACCAGCAACCCTATCTCTAGTCCTCAAAGAGTTGGAGTTCCAGGCACATTCATGGCCACATTTGTTTTTTATGTTGGGGCTGGGGATTCAAACTCAGGTCTTCACACTTGTGTGGCAGTGCTCTTATCTACTGAGCCATGTCCCAAACCCCTAGGCTGTATGAGATATCTGATCTATGTGTGTTCGGCTGGTAAGTTTGCAGTCCTTTGTTAGGTTAGGCAGCACTTACAACCATTCAAGAGAGGTGTCTTGGCCATGCACACATTTCTCTGTGCTTTGAGGTACCGATCCACTGTGTCCTGGTTTCCATTGTTGCGGTCAAGAAGTCTGCTGTTCATGGGTACTCAGAGGTGGTGTCTCTCTCTGCCTCCTTCTCTGTGTTTATTGTTTCAAGTTTCACTGAAGTCTAAATGTGGGTTGATTTCTGTGTGTTCTGTTGTGTTTCTTTTGTCTGTAAATTCATCCTTCTCCTAAGTTATGACCAACTCTCAGGCTTCACCTCTTCACATAATTCCTCCTTTGCATTCTTTCTATTTCTCTCTTCTGAGACTGTGGCTTGGAAATGTGTTGGACATCTATATTCTGTTCTGCAAATCATCCAGCTGCTCATTCATATTTTCCACCCCCTTGCTTTCCTGTGCTACATGCTGGGTAATTGTTCCAGAATCATTTCTTTTCTCCCTTTAACTGTGTTTAATCTGCTGTTTCATTCATCCACTTAATTTCCTATTTCAATGATTATGTTATTTCTATATGTTCTAGTCAGTTCTTTTTCTAATAACTTGGTCATTTCATTAGCTTTGTTGCCCGCTCATTTTTATGACCTCATTGTTTTCTTTCAACATTTTCTTCAGTTTTTATTTTTTAATTTTTTTTTGTATCTGCTAATTTCAAAGTCCTGAATTCTTGGGAGTATAAATTGCCTCATGGTTTCTATGATTTTTTTGTTCCCTCCCAACACACACACACACACACACACACACACGCACACAAAACCTTGGTTTAGTAATCATTGATGATGAGCTCAAATTTGCTATATTAAATCTGTGGGAAATTCTGAGACTTTGTTTTTCTTTTTCCATGGAGACTGAGAGTAGCCAATACCAGCCTAAGAACAGGTTAGCCCCTCCCACGGGTCCTCAGCTTCATGAGGAAGCCATAGGTTTGGTTCCCAGCCCTGCTGGCTCGGTGTTCTGGGTCTCCAGAAGGCAGTGGTGTCTACTGCCGTTCACACTCAGCAGCTCTGCTTCAATTTACTTCACACTTTACATAATTGTGCTACTTTGATTTCATAGGATTTTAGCTGGAAGATTTATTTTGGTTTTGGAGTTTAGGTGCTGGTTGATATGCAGAAAAGAGTGGCTGGTAAGGGATACCTCTCTTCCCTCTTGTAGGGCAAGTCCTGCGACAACAAAGCTGGAATCACTACTTTACAGCAGAAAAAAAATCAGTGTTCAGACAGTCATACTGATTTAAATATACTGCCCAAAGAGGGAAATAAGCCAGGTGGTGGCAGTGGTGGTGGCAGCGGCGGCGGCGGCGGCGGCGGCGGCGCATGCCTTTAATCCCAGCACTCAGGAGGCAGGTGAATATCTCGGAGTTTGAGGCAAGCCTGGTCTACAGAGTGAGTTCCGGGACAGCCAAGGCTACACAGAGAAACCCTGTCTCAAAAAACCAAAAAAGGAAGGAAGGAAGGAAGGAAGGAAGGAGGGAGGGAGGGAGGGAGGGAGGGAG